GAGTCTCGTAAGATAGGTATGCCTCTAGTTTAAGTAGAAAATTGGAAATTCTGAGGTCCGCATTCTTGTTGAACTTACTTCTTTAAGCTAGATCCAAGAACCGTGCTGAGTACGGCAATCTTTCACTTGGCATACGCAAGTACATAATAATTGAAACACATCAGTTTACTCGATAAAATTAACAAACAACTAGCGAGAGTAATTACGATCTCTGCTATATTTTAACAATTCTATTTTCACAAAATTCCTTAGCTAGGGAGATATTACAGATTGCCTCAGTCAAAGCCGCTAGAGCTTCTATCCTCACTTTTGACCTCACTGTCGATGTTGGGTTCAACAACCTTTCCCACGTATCGTTTCGCGATGGGAGCAGAGACTGGTGGGATAGCAGTTTTTGTTTCTGTTTCTGGTTGAGAACTTTTGGCTTGGCCCATCTGGGAATGTTTCCTTTGTCTCAAAGTATCTGTGGCAACTATAGGATTCGTAGAGATGGAAGGTGGAATTGCTTGCTGTGGCCTTGGAGTAGCTTTCGTGGATTTTCTGGATGGAGAGCTGGTCTTTCTTTGGACGGAGTTGCTTAAAGTGCTGGTTTTTTCACTCGATTTCTTCATGGATGACTTGACCGAAGGCGAAGTGAGCGCACTTTTTTCAATGGTTTTTGCTGATTTTTGTTCATATGAAGTCGACGACAACCCTTTCAATTTTTTGGATTCAGACAAATCGGCTGTTTTGGTCCTTCTCCTAACTGTGCCCTGCGTTTTGGAATCCGGAGAACTTTGGGTGACATCCTCTGACATTGGCTGAAAACTGTGCATCTTGGACGGTTGCCAATTGACAAATAATTCTGTATCTGTAATTACCTCCAACTTTTCCACTTCGGACCCAATAAGCACTATTTCGTTGTATTTTGGTTCAAAACTGACGCTGCTAAGACTGAATGATGATTCGTCCTCGAGAGCATGTTTCTGAAAAAAAGCTAGTGAAAAATTGGAAAAAAATTTTGTAAGGATTATTATACTACATGTCTAAATTTGTATTCTCTCTTTCCTCCCCTCTCCTCCCCTTCCCTCTTGAAAAAAATGGATTCGCCGATAGGCAATATAGTTACAAGAAAAAAATCGTTTTTATGATAATTTAGGACTATTCCCGCTCCGACCCAAAAATGATCATAAACGTAAAAGATTTCCCTACTTATATTCTACAAATCAGAAATAGTAAAATTGGAAGAAAAGATGAGAGATTTGGGAATTTTGTAGTTGCAGTGAATTAAGAAACTGCATAGCACAGAGTTATTGAAGAACAATTTGCAGATTAATAAATTTATGCTTTTCTTGAAAGCAGAATATTCTGATCGGAATTTTGGAAGCTTACAATTTCTCCAATCTCTTCGCTTAACTTCAATACTCCCTTATTTTGGAATTCGCTTTCCTTTATCTCCGCTGATGGCATTCTTCGTGCTCTCCTCTGAACTTATAAAGTTTAGAATATACGCAACATGTTAGCTTGAAAACGAAGAATTTTCTCACCTTTCTTCGCGCGAGAAATTCTCTCACACCTAGACGATAGCTTTAATATGTTAGTAAGTTATAGTTCTATGGTAGAACGCTTACGCTGTTCTTCGTCACGACGCTCAAATTCATCTCTTATGTAAAGATAGCATGTAAGACCGAGAAGAATTGATGGTATACCAATAAGCGGGCTAAACTTTATATTTTTGTATA